TTTGGCATGTCAAGATGAAGACCACCCGTAGGACGTGTCAGATTAATTCTAGCTGCCGTCCCCCCCCCCGTTCGGCTGACGACCGTGTTACCTGGTCCCGCAGCAGCGGTTCTATTGAAAGGAATTTCAAAAAGAAGTTGTGTTACTCTAACGAGAAAGAAAAAAATCACCATATCCTCAACATACATGCTCGCTTCATTCGGTCTGCACTTGGTCTGTTTCGGATTCCAGTGAGGAATCAAAAAATCAAGAGAAAATACAGAGATGTGATTGGCCTGATTTACAAGAATCCAACTAATTGTGTGAACAGTCATAGAAAACAAGTTCGAAATCAGAATAGGCATTCGACAGAGTGACGCAATGTCATCGAAGTATGCCCTAAAAGAACTTTGAAAAGCACGCCTTTAAAAAAATTCCGGGCTGAAGGTAAATGATAATTACTTTAGCCAACTACAGTTTTCCGACAATGTTCTGATCTTCTTAAGAACCAGAGAAACTCCAAGGAAACATCTAGCATTAAAAAGGCGCCAACATCAACCATGACTGAAAGTGTCCCTCAAAGGAACCTCAAGAAAATTCATGCCATGCCTAAAAATAGGTGACAATACAACCTAATAAACTGATCGATTGATGATTGAAGTGAAGCAAAACCAGGTCCATCGGTGAAAACCTATCTCTGCAGCGGAGAACTAATTATGCCAAGTTAACAGAATACGTGGCATAGAGCATCTTGGATGCCTAAAAAAGCTCTTTTTCCACAAACTGCCCTGGAGCTGTAAACGGAAAACCTTGGGACAACGGGTGTTCCCAGTGCTAATGAAGAATGCCAAATCTAGATTATAAGTTTGATTACCGTTTATAAACTGGATACTTCGCAACGCAGCATAGAAACGTATATGTTGGAATTAGCAAGAGAAAAAAAAGACCAACGGATGTGCAAGAGTGTAGGGAATAGCCTGCGATGTCACTGCACCAGTGAGACTTTTAAATAGCAGTGCCCAAGACATGTCCCAAGAAGAACCATTCTTTGGTAGTGCAAAGAGAAATTAGAACTGGTAAGAAGAAATAATGAATGGTGCATCAGAAGACCAGATAAAGAGCAGGTGAAACTGGAGAAATGGATGCAGGGGACAAACTTTCTGGTGAAATCTTTAGGAGGTCTTCATCCAGCAGAATATCAATAAATGTTAATGGTAAAATTCTTAGCATAACAACATTTCAAGGCTTATTTAC